CCGATGTGAACTGATGCTTTGCTGTCATCACAGCGGGGCTGTACAATGGTTTCAAAACCTTTGGCCATGGTTAGTGAAATTGGGGGCATTCCTATCTGAGTGGGATAATTGTGGCCTGAGGTACTCAACCCTGATGCACGTTCTACATTTGTGCTGTGGGGTTGTGGGAACACCGCAGTGGTAAAGTGCAGGAGTGACACAGTTATTTGTCTTGGTGACAGAGGGCTAGATAAAGATCACTTTCTGACATGGATCTCTGTGCCTGCATTCCATAAAGCCTTGGTCACTTGCAAAAGCTGTGTGCACAATGGTCGCTGAGTGAGAAGGGCTGCACTGAGATCCAGTCTGCTAGTCACCATTCGCTTTCTTTGCAAACTGCATTGAGAATTGCCCCTAAGAAAATAGTTTACTCCTAGAATAAGGATATTCAGAATTCTATTAATTAAGCCGATATGATTGCTACCACCTTGCCTTATGTGTTGTAAAGATTTGCTTTACTGCTGCATTAGCTTTTGTGTAGGGCTGCATACCTTCTGTAAGATAAGCAAAAGGACTTGTAGGATTAAAGAATTGATTTTAAATGCTTGCTTGTTCCATGTGAACTAAGAGATGTGATGGAGACCTCTTAAAACCACGAGAAGAAAGTTCTATTAGATGTTGATAAAGATGTAGTTGTTGAATTGTATTTCCTTTTCTAAAATGAATGAAGGTAGGAAATGGTGAAGTAGAACAGTGCTGAATGTCCCGTTACGATAGGAAGGAACAACTAGTCATGGGAATTCTCAGCTCTATATTTTTTTTGTGCTTTCTGTGCATTAAAATTTTACTTATGAGGATTTGCCTTTGCTTTAAAAATAAGCTGGAAGGGGCTGGACCAATTAGGTACTTCAGAACGAATGATTCCATATTAAATTTGGAACAATTGCCAGACGATACCAATGAGCTTGTGATCACCGCTTTTGCTTGTATAATTCTTCCTTAGTACTGGATAGCTGTGTTCTGAAACTAGATGGGGAGGCTTTGTGCATTAGTTCACTGTGGAGTACATGATAATTGTCTTGATAATTCATCATCCTTGTGTCTGGTTCAAAATAATTACACTTCTGATGCTATTTTTCTTATCTTAACACATTTTGCACAGAAGACTATCTTTTAAATGCAATATATGAAGCATAAAGGGATCCTGTTTTTCTTAATACCAAATCTCTGCTGTCTTCTGCTACCTGATTTCTACTGAAAATAAAGTTACTTCGAATTTGCTACAAGCTGAACCCATTGTGTTAGAAATAGATGAGAATAAGAACAGTTGGCTGAAGTTTCATCTGTGGTGAACAGTTATGTTTTTCTTGGCTATTTTCAAAAAGAAAAACAAATTGTCAGTCAAATTTCCTGTTCTCTGTTTTTGGAATCTGGCACAAAACCAGTGAGAGTCTTCAATCCCTATGGCGCTTGGTTCTCCAAGAAAATATACTACCCACTCAAAAGAAAATTGTCTGGAACTTCATGCTCATTCCTGCATTTAAAAAAAAAG